CCATCGATGACCGGTCAAAACCGGTCATCCATGGGCGAAACACCCCCAACAAGGACCGGTTTTAACCGGTCCTTGATGGAGGTAAACACACCCATCGATGACCGGTCAAAACCGGTCATCGATGGGGTTGTTTGCCTCCATCAAGGGTTTTATCTCCCATCAATGGGTTTAAACACCCCCAGAGATGACCGGTCAAAACCGGTCATCGCTGGGGGTGTTTGGGGGGGGGGGGGGGGGTACTCCCACCCATGACCCGGTTTGACCGGGCATCGCTGGGGGTGTTTTAACCCATCGATGACCGGTCATAACCCGTCATGCAAGGAGGTGCTTGGGGGTGTTTGGGGGTGTTGACTCCCATTGAGGACCGGTTTTGACCCGTCATCTCCGGGGACAATCTTGGGGGGAGTGACTCCCATCGAATGACCGCTGTTGACCCGGACATCCATAGGAGTGTTTTATCCCATTGATGACCGGTCATAACCGGTCATACCAAGGGGGTTGTTTATTCCCTATCATGACACAAACTGGACTTGATGGGCAGGTTTACCCCCATCAAGGACTGGTTGAAATCAGTCCTTGATACGGGTGAAGGGAGGCATCCATGGGAGATGTACTCCCAGTCCCATGTTTTGACTGGGTGTATTGATGGGGCATTTAGAGTCCAAGGGGTTGAGACGAGGTCACAAACCCCTTGGATACATGGCTAATTTGGCGGATCAGTGCCATGTTTGGCGGTCCAGGAGCAATCATGTCGGTTCAGGAGCATGGGTGGCCAATTTGGCGGTTAGATTCAATTTTCACTTTGGCCATTCTGGCGGTTCAGGGCCGTCATTTGGCGGTTATTTGGCCAAAGTGGCGGTTCATCCCCATGTTTTCATTTTTTTTGGCCAAAATGGCTGTTCAGTACCTCCATAGTATGTACATTGACTTAAATTTCCAAGGCTTGAGTTCAAGCTCAACAGCTGTTGTTTTGTGTTGAACAGAGTGGGTGGGTGTGCTGTTGTGGGGCTGGGTTGGTTGGCCTAGGACATCTTCGTTCACAGTTAGGGAAACTTCTACTGCTGTCCACCTCTTAAGACTCCAGCTGAAACCACTGCTAATAACAACCAAAGACCCTGGGAAACGAAGCTCGCCGTTCAGCAAGGAACTCGTATCGGTCGATTGCGTTCCGCCGGATGTTCTATGCATGCGTAGGACTAGATAGATAGATAGATCGAAGAAGAAGTCGAACGAACGCCAGCCGAGCAATCGAGCAAGACTCTAAAATCCTTGAATCTTACAGAGCATCCGCATTGTTATTTATATCTTATTTACCTTCAATCAGAAACTCTAGCAGTTGTGAGTGTTTTCTTTGATGGATAGTTCATTTTTTTTTTGGTAAGCAGTTGATTGGTATGATGTGTGCTGATCCAAGTCATGATTTCCTTTTCATTTGCCATCAAAGCACATCCTTGTTGGACACGTCGATCGGGATATTCGACCTTAATATACACCCTTAACGTACTATAGACCTCAACAAAAAAAAAGCAAGTGCAAGATCTAACCGCGAGGAAGAAAGCAAGAAAGAAAGACAGAAAATATATTCAAATGACGGTCGCATCATCAGAAAATCGACAACCACTTTCAATTCCCAATTACCATCAACATGCACCAGGTTCACAGAATCAAGAATCCGACCAACTGGAAAAAGTGATCCTAATCTTCAGATGGATGACTCCGATCTTACTTATTGGGACTCTGGTGCTCACTTTTGGTACTCGAGCGTTCTCGAGATTTGTCCTCAAATTACAAAACGTGGGATATGAATCACTACCGGATTCGAATTTCGAGCGACAGACAACCACTGGGAGGGGTGAACGAGAGATTCTGAGCTCGACTCACCAGCCAAACCGCCATCTCAATCCTCCTCAACCCGAGGAAGAAGCAGGCATTGTCCCCGTCGTCGTCCCCCTCCGCAAACCACGTCGGAACTGGATCTATGCCGTCCACGGTTTAATCATCTTGAGTTATTTCTTCGATGGACTGGTGATCTGTGTCCGAGCTGTCTGGGCACATTGCTGGGAACCATCTGAAATGGCTGTCTGGCGAGCCCTCGATGGCTATGTCGTCAGCTGTCTGGTCGCTTTCGTTGGTTGTATTGTGGCTATGAGTTGGGAGGAGCGTGGTTCGGGTCAATTAGGCGGTTGGGGTAAAATCTATACTAGAGTCTTTAGTACCCAAGCCTTACTGGGGGAAATGGTAATCGGAATATCGTGTCTCATGCTTCTTACTCGCTGTACGTTCCAGTTTTCTCATTTTTTTTTCTTTCTTACAGACGCTTTATTTCACTAGAATCTCATTGCCAAACTGAACCCTGGGTTGATTGGACGCGTTCTACTTAGCCCCTCAATCCAACACATCAACCGCGTCACCTAATCACACCAGTATAGACCCATATGACCTACTTCATGCAATTAACCTCTCGGTGCGGCTATTACTGGTGATCAGCTTGAGCTTACTACAGACCAGATTCCTCTATCATAAAGAGTTTGTGTCCCTAAGTTCCCTGCGACCATCAACAGCTGAAGTCTCTCCGGAACGATCCGCAGGAGGGTACGGGACTTTTGTGCCATCCAACGGCTCGAATGCGCATGTTCTCAGCACCAAGGCTCAGATGAGGGAAGCGCCAAAACCGACAGGCGTTCTCAAGATGATGAAACGAGTCAAAATCTTGTTCCCGTATCTTTGGCCGCGTCGGAGTAGAGCCCTCCAGGCAGTCGCCCTATGTTGTTTCTTACTCCTGTTTGTGGGCAGGGCGGTCAACCTGATGGTTCCCATGACCCTTGGCGAGGCCACTGAGGATCTTTCTCAAAGTCGCTCTCCCTGGTTACACCTGGCTGCCTACGTCGGTTTGAGATTCTTGCAAGGCTCTGGTGGGATCATTAATGGTCAGTGCACCAGCTCCTGGCTACCACTCGCCCATGCCATCAATCCTGATTTTTATCTGTTTCGGTGGATGGACCATGATCAGTTATCTTGCAAAGCTTGTGGGTCCCCGTGGCGCAGTATGCAGATCGATCAATGTCGATGATGTCTTTTCGAGTAAGCACATTTGACAAAATTCCAAGCATCAAGACGCTCGTACCCTACGCAGCTCAATGGAGTCCATCGAGGGTAGACCCATGTAACACCTGTTGTTCTTCTTGTCTTTGAACTGCCATCAATTTTAGCATATTCTAGACCTGTCTCTGTCGTATCATACTAGACGTAAGACGGCTGAAGTGCTCCGGATCTTGGACCGCGGATCTGCTATCAACCAATTCTTTCAAATGCTATTTTTCAGTTTGGTGAGTCTCGTTTGTGTAACTCTTTCTTGATTGAAAAAGAAAGTCAATGAAACATGAGAATGGTTTCTCAATGTGTGATACTAGAGAAACAAGTATAATAATTGACTTGAATGCTTCTGTCGGCCTGTTTCAGATACCAATTGTCTTAGATATTGGACTAGCAGTGGGCTATCTTGCAATCAGATTCGACATCTTTTTGGCCGGTATGCTGCTCTTCATCATGATTGCGTGAGCCCAGATTACGTGTCATCCTTTTTCTTTTCTCTTTGTTGAACAAAGATGAGCCGGTTAGTAAACTGATCATCAAATACACCATAGATATGCCGCAGTTAGCGTTCTGTTAACCCAATGGCGGACTGCTATCCGCAGAGAAATGGTCGATAAAGGTTCATTTTTCTCATCCTCACATACCATCTCTCAAATTGAACTTGTTAATCAAGTGCATTTGGCCGTTATCCTATCAGATAAATATACCAGAGGAATTCAAGGAGACTCCCTTCTGAATTGGGTACGTATTTTTCTTTCTCTACCTGGGTTCAATAAAACGATAAGTTGATGCTTTTGTGCTTGCGAATAGGAAACCATAGCCTGGTTTACACGAAAACCTTTGAAACCAATCGGTATCTAGATGCAACTATCGACTACAGCGATCTGATTCATGGTCATGTCGTCCTTATATACTCTCAATTTTGCACAGTAATGTGCTCTATGTCATTTATTGTAAAAAGCAAAAATCTAGTTTCATTCTGAGATTCTTTTGATTTAACTTATTCAGAATGCGATAATTTCCGTTGCGCTTCTGATTGGTTGCTTCGCAGTAGCTTTTCAAGTCAGCACTGGTCGCAAAACCGTTGGGGATTTCGTGCTATTTGTCTCTGTAAGGGTGGCATCCTCTTGAAATCCAGATGGTTCCTCTGATGATGTCTTGACAATGTGCTGGATTTAGTATGTTGCGCAATTGGTTGGACCTCTGAATCAGTTGGGGACTTTGTACAGGGTCATCCAGCAGAACCTAACTGGTAAGATCAATTAACTCGAACCAGTCTTTATGTACCATGGCTAATAACAATGAATCTGAACATTTCTTTTGTTTTAGATACCGACAACCTAATGAAGCTCTTAGCTGAGCCAAAGGAGATTGAAGACCGACCTAGTGCGCAAACCATCATTAAAGCCAAAGGCACCATAGAATTTGATCATGTTGGATTCAGCTATGATGGCAAGAGTTCCGCGTTAGAAGACATATCATTCACTGTTCCGGCTGGATCTTCTGTTGCTTTGGTTGGTGAGAGCGGAAGCGGGAAATCGACGATTTTGAGGCTGTTGTTCAGGTTCTATGATCCTACCGCTGGATCAATTAAACTGGATGGAGTTGACATTCGTGATCTTACTCAAGCAAGTTATCGAAGCCAAATTGGTAGTGTACCACAAGACGCTGCCTTGTTCAACGACACAATTAGGTGGGAATTTCGATCACTCGATCTTTGATTTTAAAATATAAATGCTCTTAACCGTTTGAACTCATTCCTTTGATCTTGGATATAGATACAATATTGGTTATGGTGCAATCGGTGTTAAGCCGGACGGACCCACCATGGAAGATGTGGTGGAAGCAGCAAAAGCTGCTCAGATTCATAATCGTATCATGTTAGTTGTCTTACTTGGAGTACACTGCTTCTTGCGGACCACTGTATACATAACAAAGTTAATCTCTTATTTATACTTGATCACATATGACGGCAATAAAGGTCATTTCCAGACGGGTATGAGACTCGAGTTGGGGAACGAGGAGTCAGGCTATCGGGTGGAGAGAAGCAAAGGGTAGCCATTGCACGAGTGATGATCAGAAACCCGCCCGTAATTTTACTGGTCAGTAACAATGCCACCCTTTCAAAGGAGGGTGCATGGCTAACAATCTTATTCCCATCATATATATTGCGTGATTAGGATGAAGCCACATCGGCTTTAGATACAACAACTGAAAGAGAGATTCAAGAAGCTCTACAAAAGCTGGGCCAAGGAAGGACGACAGTTGCGATTGCGCATCGTCTCTCAACCATTGTCAACTCAGATATTATCTTAGTGATCGGGAAGGGGAGAATCGTCGAAAAGGGAACTCACAGCGATTTGCTTGCTCTCAAAGGGCTTTATTCTGATCTTTGGGCCAAACAGATTAGGTAGGTTATTCGCATGTCTTTTCTCAGCCTCTTTCCAATTTCCTATTAACGTTTCTCACTTTCGCTATCCTTTTTCATATTGATTGATTGACTTTCTGTAGAGCGGAAGTGGAAGCAGGTGGAAGTGAAAGTCTTCTAAAGCCACCGGTTGTCCAGTCTTCCTCTACTAGTTCCTCCGGCGGCGAGAGTGAACCCGCCATAAACTAGTAATGTGATTGTTATCTCCATAATAGCCACACTAGCAGCACCTCTACCCAAAATCGCGATAACAACAATGGCAAGGTAATATACGTCTTCTGCGGGGAAGTCAATATGTTTTTGATTTCCTTTTTTTGTTATCAACATAGACTGTTTTGTCTTGTCAGACCAAATCCCCCAACCTTACTTTTGTTTTCTTGGCCCCATCAAAAATAATGGCAACAAGAACAAATAATCAAACTCCATTAACATTTCACGTTGTTTGGTGGCTTTTTGTGATAGAATCTCGCGCTTTTTTTCCGCGACTTTTTCGATCTAATAATTTCTACGCGCGCCGCCGCGCGACATCTTTTTGTCTGCTGTGATTTATTTCAATTTGTTTTTGTGATGTGTTTAATTGATATTGTTGACAGTTGTAGTAAACTACATTCTTAGAACCAAGTGCTTATCATAGCTCAACGCTGACACGGCGGCGGCTGTGAAGCCATTCAAACTGCTTGCGGTTTGCATCATGCAAGCATACAATCAATGTATGCAGACTCTTTTTTTCAAATTCCGCTGTGTGAACCACAAACCTTGATACAAGACGTGGATAGCTATTTGGAGTGGTCTAGACCCTCAACCAAGGTCTTGGATTAGGTAAAAGGTCCGCATGATGATATTCCAAATTATATAATAGAAAAAAGTTGTTGCAGTTTCTATACATTTCTTTTACGTCCCAAGCATGATATTCATGCTTTTACGAGAGAGCTGCCAAGAGCAATCGCACGATGAAAACGTGCCTGCTGAATACAACCTTATCCTGAATCCGTATCAAATTGCTAATGCTGGCGGGGACCCTAGAGGTTCTGAAGATTGACACGATGATTATATCAAGATTTGCTCTCATTGTAAGTTGTTGTACACAACGCAGCCATCCAAGAGTTTCATCTGCGGGTAAATTTCAGTGGAAGAGTCAGTCGGCTAAATGCGCCCGGGAAAAATATGCCTGGAAATGGAAAGTTTCAAGATATGGATCAACCGTTTTGCCAGTGTGGGGTCAGTCTGTCACAAAGAAGGGAGGGGAACGGTCACGCGACGGGTACATCGTCAATTCCTGATATCATCTGTATGATGAAGTGGCCAAAGTGTGAGATTTTTTTGCAGAGTCACATGTGTTGATAATTTTACAACACGCCAGTGCCACACCTAAAAAGAGCTTCAGGCGGCAGCGCCGGCTCATATAACAGGGTACAACAGCCCACCAGCTGGAAGGAGTTTTCATCATGCCGACAGGTTAATGCGCTGGAGTCCCCAACCGATTCAAGTTCATTCTTAATTTGCATGAGAATGGATCCCACTCAACGGTCAACCCCATCACGGTGCATATGGGAGCGGTTACATCAGCTTTCCAAAAAAAAAAAAAAAGTTTTAGAAAGACTTTGGATACAAAACTCCCCTTTCATCAGCCAACTCAATTGGCCGAATGGCCTGCGCTTGGGATATAAGATTTTAAGCTTAAGGTCAGAGCTTCAAGTATTTATGAATATTTATGTTGGAGGGAGATTGGAGGCTGAAGCTTACAATACATACAAGGCTGTTTGAGTTCGAAGATAAAATGGAAGAATTGTACAACACGCACAAAAAGGCTTTCCCAATCCTTTCCCTCGGTCGGCCTCGGCCGGATTTTAAGTCCCGTTCATCCGCAACGCTTTGAAAGATTTCTATCCCGCTATGAGGCGGTGTCGCCGCGCCTGTCGTTCAGTGCTTTACAGCACTTGAAAACACCAGTTCAGTTTATACCCAGCTTCAATTTTCCTCCATCATACATTTATTTTACCTACTTTTAAATGTGTGACTCTAGCTCGCAGTCGTTGACCTCTGTTGTCCTAGTATCAGGATAAGGTTTCAATCGTTGTAACACTTCTTGATCTTCCATATCTTTGTTTATTTTGTTTACTTCCGACCCCTTCGTCTCGTCTAAGTACATGCGTATCACGATGAGGTGGTTTGTGTATCTTTTTTATGCAACTGTTGTCATAATCTAAGGAAAAAAGAGAAATTCAGTCTTGGAATCATGGCGCCGGGATTTGCAAAACTTTAGATAAATACATAGTCCATTGATGCTTACTATGATGACACCCTATCAGCTTTCTTCCTCTGACTCGCCCAATCATCCATCGCACGGATATATGATCCACCGTTTCTGATATATTCAAAAAATCGCGTCTGTAAGGAGAAGTAAATCTATTCTCTTATCGCCAGTAACTCGGAGCGTGGGGTCCACATAAAGAATTCTTGAATTCTTACATAGTGTACCTCTTTCGATCGGAAAAACCTGGGCAAACGTGTGTTTCTTGTCTTCCAATCTAGGTCCTATTCAATGCCCATACGGCGCTCCGGGATAGATTCGAAAGCCTGCTAACCATGTCACTTTGACGACAATCCGATTTCCAATTCGAAAGTTGGAGTGAACCAGGCTCATCAGATATTGACTTCGAACGCACCCTTTCTCAGTTCATTTGTTCCGGTTATCCCGCCGCCCTACAGCAGAGCAAGCCACCCATCATCTTGTCCCCCTCATAGCCTTTTGAAAACAGCACAGCCATCCAACAAAAACATTTGCATCTCGCTTCCATCATGAATTCAAATCGCCCGGAAAATTACTCCGCCGAAGGCCAGGATGCGGCACAGATGTCCTGTAAGATTTACGTGGGTAATCTCGCGTGGGCGGTGAGCATGATCTTATCGTTTTGATTTTCCTTTTTTTTTTTTTCTGCTTCGATGATCCCAGTAAGCGATCGGGGTTTTTTTCCGCCTTGATAGCCTTTGACAGAGGTCGACATTGAGCCCGGACTAGTCCCTACTTTTATGCAGCATATATTAAAAGCATGCTAACTCAACTTTTAACTTTCCGACCCCTTCTGAATTCGGCCGGACCGCACGAAATGTGCCCGAGATCTTCAGACTGATGAAAACGCGCTTAGTTCACATTTCGCCAGTGTAGGAGAGGTAAAGGGAGCGGTAGTGATGAGGAGTGAAGGACGCAGCCGAGGCTTTGGTTTTGTCACGGTACGTCGAACGACCTCCATCAGCTAATTCACAGCAGTATCTTGAGCGACCAGACCCTTATGGGCTGGCAGTCTGTCTGGAACAACAAACTTCCGAAGAATGCGGTGATTGTGGAGCCCATCTTCCTAGACACTTACTTGACTAGAGATCAACATCGACCAACTGCCTATCTCCCATGATTTTTGTCACTACCCTGATTGAGATTTTGTGCTGATGTGTATCTTGATATCATACTTGCGTTTTTCTTTGGGCTTCATCCCATGCCAGTTTGCGAATCCAGAACAAGCAAAGCAAGCTATTGATACCATGTATGATTCGGAATTGGTAAGCCCGAAGCAAATCCTAACCTATCTAAGCAACCTTTTCCAGGCCTTGCAAAGATCTGTCTCTGGCCAAATAGCAACTGGGGACAAGCCACCAGCTCGTGATTATTCGCTTGCTGTTTGGCTTTTTTCTAGCTACCATGCTTGCATTGGCTCTGCTTTGTTTTGGATGCATGGTCTAGTGCTATGGCGACTCCCGACTAGTGCATGAGTCTGCCATGCGTTGGTAATCAGTTCGAACAGTTGCTTGATCATAAAAGACATTCCTTTACTCAGATATCAACAAAGTATACGGAATGAATTCAGGAGTTTGACTTTGTTTGAAATTTTGGTATCCCAACGGACATGTTTTTGGACTCATAATCACCTGCCTCTCTCCCATGACGATACGACTGCCTCTGGATGATTGAAAATTACTCTTAGCGTATGATGCATGAATGTTTTCACACACCATCCCGTATTGCTCTATGTCAAGTTGAGGTTTCTTACAAGGTGCTTTCTTCTTCTTCTATCTTTCGTAACCAGACGGTCGCCGCTTGCGGGTAAACGTGGCGAACCAATTGATTCGAGGGGGCACCGGAGGCCCGGGTGATTATCCAATGAGCAGCGGGAGTGCGCCCGGGGGTTACCAATACCCGAATGCTCCTTATCCTGGTGGATGTAAATGATTTTGCTTTATAAAGGACCCTTCTCTTATCATGGGCATGGGTTGATTTTTTTTTTTCGGTGGGTATCATCATCCAGCGATCCCTTACGGTGGATATTCCCATCCTCCCCCACCAGCTCATGGGGGCTACATGGGCGGAGGCTACATGAACCCGACGAGCAGCTATCCTGGAAATGAAACTGGCGGTTATGTGTGTTAAATTTCGTGATATCATAATAAACCTTGCATTGGCATTGATTATTTTCTGAAACCCGATCTATTTTGGTAGCCCACCGGCGGGCCAACGAGTCACCCGATGCCCGATGGTCGAAAGGGCAACAACCAACCAGGAGGATTCTATCCGAACGGGGGATCTTACCCTTGTAAGTAGTCACAAACGTTGCTAGGAATCTTGAACCCAGTGGCTCATCATCGTGTTCTCTCAACAGACCCACAAGGAGGGTATGGATACTAGAACGGAAATCGAGCCACTATACACTTCCTGAATATATCATCGCCAGTAGTCCGTCTAAGATGGTGATCACTTTTTTTTGTCCAGTTAGCAGTACCTGAATTTGTGGTTTGTTTTGACAAAACTGCGATATATATCTTGTATCAACACTGAAATGTACACCTTGTGGCAGTTCTTTTCTCAATCCAATTTCTATTCCTCTGCCGTAACCATATCTGCGCATTAAGTATGTCTGTTGCTCCTCCAATTTGTCTTCATTCATTGTACATGAACATATAAACTCACACATAGGGCAAGCAAAACAAGCATAGCAGCTCTTTTCTCAGCAAAACTGGAAATGTGTCATGGTTCCCTTGAAGTAGTTTGAACATTCAACAAAACATGCCTGAATTTTGTTCATTCAACAATTTCAGGAGAAGGGAGAACTCTTCACCAAATATGCAGCCCTTGAAGGTGCCAATTTCCATCCCAAAAATCTAAATTTTGCAGGCCCTGTAGAGGTCGTTCCGTGGTACTCCTTGCTAGGTACCTAGCACTGCCTGCACCTGCCCTGCACCTGCCAGTCTCTCCCTTGAAGTGCTTGAACCTCTTCCTGCATCCTGTGTTGCTTCTTTTAGGGTCTTAGTTAAACGACTCCCAGAAATTGGAGTTCCGACTCCCAAATTTCTGGGACATCGAGGGGACCGTCTGTGGACGCTCCTCCAGACGTCCATGGGAGTCGGACCTCCAAAACCTTCAAAGGTTTTGGGAGTCGCTCCCCTTATAAAAAACAAGTAAAAAATAAATAAATAAAATGAAAAAAATGGGGG